TATTAAATAATTTAAAATATTTTAATTTTTCTATTTTTTATTTATATTTATAATAACATAATTTTTTTCCGTGCATCGCGCGGGTGAATTACTAGTTCATATAAAATAACTATTGGACCGGAGTATCTATTTATTTATGATATTTACTTTATTTATATTAATATAATCAATTTGAAGATCATTGGCGCTGGCATACAAGATATTATATGCATATATATATGATTTGCAAATTGCAATATATTCTTTGCACTGACCAGATTGGAATAGGTTTAATTTATTGCATAAATATTGAATACACTATTTTTAAATATTTTGTTACGTCACAAATAAAGAGAATAATACCATTTTTTATTATAAAATAAGTATAATTAATATATTTAATTAAAATCAAAGACTATAATTTCATTCCAAATATTATTATTTTTTCTCTTTATTAAGATTTTTACAAATACTTACAACGAGATCATGGACAATGACTTAGGAAACATGGCCCGGCCCTTAAATGAGGCATATATAAATGGTAGTCGTTATATCGTGCACCGCGGTGCATAATCGATTATACATCGCGCATTAAAACGGCGTTGTTTCTGTCGTTATAACGAAGTGACACTATAGTGTGTCTAAACTGACACTGTCTCACGTATTATTTTTATATTATCAAATGAAACTGCAGTTATATCAAAATGATACTATAGTTGTGGTGAAATGAAACTACAGTATATATAAAATAAAACCGAATAACATTTCACATATTTGAGTGTATATTATACAATGAAGCTGTAATTATATTGAAATGATCATGTAGTTGTGTTTTAATGAAACTATAGTGTATATAAAATAAAATTAAATAACATTTTCACATATTTGAGTGTATAAATATTGAATGAAACTGTAGTTATATCGAAATGAAACTGTAGTTGTGTTGAACTGAAATTGCAGTGTATACAAAATGAAACTGAAGAACGGAATTATTTTTTGCGAAGATTCTGTTTCTTTTCATTAAATAAAACGACGTCGTTTTGATGCGGGGTGCATAATCGATTATGCACCGCAGTGCACGATATAATTCGCCTATAAATGGTATGACACACTGGACAATGACTTAGGAAACATGGGGCATAAATGGTATTCCCGGATCCACCCAAATAAATTAATCTACAAATACATAGATAAGAGTTGACCTAACTAAAATAAAAATATTTATAAATATAATATTAATATTAATAGAGACGATATGTAATTTATTTCAACTATTCTATATTTTTTATTATAAATATTTTTATCACGTTTTGAAAATTTTTTAGTTTTTGTCCCTACTTAACGGTATTTTCGGATCCATCCCTGGTTGTGCGTCCTTTGCCCAATAGATTTTGTGATTGTTTTGCTCAAAATTATGTCATTTAGAACTAAATAACCGTAAAAAATTTAAAAACAAAAAAAAAACAAAACAAAACAAAAAAACAAAACAAAAAATCAATTGAGTAGGATGACCCTTAGCTTTTAATGTATTCTGTTATGTATATATGGAGTATTTGGTGGAAAGAGAAAATTTCAATGGAATTGCCGAGAAAACGGTAATCCAGTTGAATTTTTTTTCTTTTGTCCACTTCCTAAAATCTTTTCAAATTTGTGAACTCCTTTTAAAAAATTCTCCTTCCAAGCTATTACTTGAGAAGTGTGTGAGTGTAGTCTATGCCTTCAAGTTCTTCAAAGTAAAAAGAGCAAATTAATAACATCCATTCATATGGATAGATGAATAGATCAACACTAATGGTATATTGGGGGAAGAAGATCAACAATTAATGGTCTCTAGAAAATAAGAGAAAAAATGACGGGGTAAATTTTATAAATGATGGGGATTATTCTTCGGGCATCGTACCTATACTGTGGTCGGTTATGGATCTTTGTGACGGGTCGAGTCCGACCCGACTATGACTGACCTAAAAGGCACGACTTCCCGGTTAAGTGTGCACGCCGAGTTCAGCCATAGGATAATCCCGAAAAGGGCTCTTCAAGCTCCGTTTCACTGACCCGATTTGGTTGGACTGGCCCCTCAGGGCCTCGAATTCCGACCCTGCGTGCTTAGGAATCGTAAAGCACGTGGCCTCAATCCCTTGGGCCACCGCCCAAACCCGTGCATGGCCTCCACACGGCGCACATGCCGCCGGGTTGGGACCTGCCCTCAGTCGTTATGCTATGGATCCGTGTCCAGCATACATTGTGGACACGATAATGATGCCGTTAGTGGCACCATTATCTTCCACTATTTTTTAAAAAAAAATTCAGACCGCTTTCGTTATAGGAGCATATGTTCATAATTTTATTACTATATGTTCATAATTGTAAGTTCATAATGTCAGAGCTCTGTGTTCATAATTTCATAACTGTACATTCATACTTCCATAAATGTATATTCATAATTCCGTAACTATACATTCATAATTCAATAACTGTAAATTCATAATTTTCGAAACTCTATATTCACAATTTTAGAGCTCTATGTTCATAATTTTATCACTATATGTTCATAATTGTAAGTTCATAATGTCAGAGCTCTGTGTTCATAATTCCATAACTGTACATTCATAATTTTCGAAGCTCTATGTTCACAATTTTAGAGCTCTATGTTCATAATTTTATCACTATATGTTCATAATTGTAAGTTCATAATGTCAGAGCTCTGTGTTCATAATTGCATAACTGTACATTCATAATTCCATAACTGTACATTCATAATTGCACAAACGAATAATGCTGTTAACGGCGAGACAAAATCAATTTTTTTTTAACTGGAATGCCGTCGTTTTGGACTCAATTTGCCACCTGCCCCCTGACATCGCTATAAATACCGCATTTATTGCTGGGTGGGGGGATTTTTGGATTTTTCCACATGATAGCTATTAGCTCGAAGACCTCTGACCCACTGCCAAATTAACCGGGCTATACTCCTTAAATCAACAAGCAGACCGGGCATAGGATCCGGACCCGAAACCAACTTGAGATTGTAAATCGTAGGCGATACACTCTGTATTTACTACATCAATAAACATTACAAAGTTTATTTATAAAAGTCACCAGTATTTTTTAATTAAAACTCTCAATTATTGATGAACCTAGATAAGCGGGTAATTATTATATATATACAGTTATAAACCTTATTTTGTTCCCAGGAATGTCTTACATGAACTTCCCAGTTTTTGTCAATAGTCATGTTGTTCTGTACAGATTATAAAGACTCCCGCTATAAGTGTCAATACCATTAACCAACTTAATCATATTCGACAAATTATACTGGGAACCATAGTTCATATCTCATTTTTAATATATTGAATGTTAATTTTTAATGTACTAAAGTACACTAAATAAATCAGTTTGGTTAGTGTGAGTGGTCGTGCACTCTCATGTCTTAAGAGATTTCAGGAGTCCGTTTTTACTGAAACATCCCTCTAAAATTTGATGATGTTTTTTATTTATTGAGTTAATACTATATGAGGATTATGAGGTCCTCCGAGTATAGTGATTTCACCACGTTTAGTTCTAAACTTTCAAATTGACCACCCGTGGTCCTTCGACTTTCAAATTATTACCATATACTATGGTCCTTCAACTATCAAATTTTAACCACATATGGTCCTTCCAGGAGGATTGCAGCTGGTTAAATTTTGAAAGTTGAAGGACCATAGGTGGGTTAACTTGGAGCACAGATGGTAACAATTTGAAAGTCGAAGGACCAAAGTTGAAAGTTTAAGGCTAAACGTGACAAAATCACTATACTCGGAAGATCCCATATGACATTAACTCTTATTTATTATCCAATGTTTTCGGAAAATTATTGTGTGGACCACGGTGCAAAACAACGTCGTTGAATTTTATGAGTTAGAATAATGTATTTTATGTGTTAGAATAATGAAACTTTTGAGGTAAGATAATGTACTTTATGCTTTAGAATAATATACATTATGAGTTATAAAAATATATATGCAGTGGATCGCGTAAAAAAAAATGCAAAACGATGTCATTTTTGGCAATCGTTATGCGTTGGACCCGTGTCCAGCATGGTAACAGTGTCGTTAGGCACTGTTATCTCCTCTTTTTTTTTTCTTTTTTTTTTTAAAATTTCAGACCGCTTCGTTATAGGAGTATATGTTCACAATTTTATTACTATATGTTAATAACTGTACATTCATAACTCCATAACTGTACGTTCATAACTCTATAACTGTACATTCATAACTCCATAATTGTACATTCATAACACCATAAATGTACATTCATAACTCCATAGTTGTACATTCATAATTTTCGAAGCTCTATGTTCACAATTTTAGAGCTCTATGTTCATAATTTTATCCCTATATGTTCATAATTGTAAGTTCATAATGTTAGAGCTCTTTGTTCATAATTCGATCAATAACTGTACATTCATAATTCCATAACTGTAGATTCATAATCTCATAACTGTAAATTCATAACTCCATAACTGTAGATTCATAACTCTATAACTGTACTTTCATAACTCCATAACTGTACATTCATAATCTTCGAAGCTCTATATTCACAATTTTAAAGCTCTATGGTCATAATTTTATCACTATATGTTCATAATTGTAAGTTCATAATGTTAGAGCTCTGTGTTCATAATTTCATAATTGCATAACTGTACATTCATAACGGCATAACTGTACATTCATAATCCAAAAAAAAAAAATAATAATAACGCCGTTAACGGCAAAACGCGCGCAATTTTTTTTTTTTTTTTTAACTTAATGACGCGTTTTTTTTTTTGAAAAACGACGTCGTTTTGAGCCCGTGTCCACAATTCATTGTGGACACGGGTCCAGGGCATAATTTGCGTATTTTTGGGCCGTGGTCCATACAATAACTATTGAATGTTTTCTTATTGGGCTAAGCAGTTTAGGATTGACTATTTCACTGCATCAATAATAGGCCCAAAGGCCCAATATTGTTTTCCTGTATTTCTTCTCTCTCATTTGGCGCCAACACATCAGTAAAAGTAAAAACCCTTCCACTGTAACTAACAACGAAGACAGTACGGTTCCGACGCCATGGAAGCTCAACCGGAGCTACCTTCTACTGAAGTAGACACGGAAATGGAAGTAGAGGACGACCAAATTCCACCTTCGAATTCCAAGGACCCGCCTCCAATTCTCCGCCTCGACCAGTCTGTGGTGAACAGAATCGCCGCTGGAGAGGTCATCCAGCGACCGGTCTCCGCCGTGAAAGAGCTTGTGGAGAACAGCCTCGACGCTGGATCCACCTCAATCTCCGTCGTTGTCAAAGACGGCGGCCTCAAACTCATCCAAGTCTCCGATGATGGCCACGGCATTCGCGTATGCCCTCACCTTCCCTGGCTTGCTTAATAATGTAGCGTGTAATGAATAGCTTTCGCGCATATAATGAAAGAACTCGGAGAAAGTAGCTCTCGGATACGAGAATTCATGAGTAATTTCTTTTAGTTTTAGCATTTATTCTATCCTGTAAATAACCTGAGCTTCTGGCCAATATAATGTGTAAATAGAAGCTGAAAATTTCCTAGTAGAAAAATTTGAAGGACTAACTTGCAATTGTTCTATTTGTGTGTACTGTAACTGATGTATGTTATCAATTTGTGAAATTTACCCAATTTCCCCTTTCTGATATTGAATTTTCTTATTCTTGTGTTTGTCTCTAGAAAGAGGATATGTCAATATTATGCGAGAGACATACAACATCCAAGTTGAGTAAGTTTGAGGATTTGCAATCAATCAAATCAATGGGGTTCAGAGGAGAGGCATTGGCTAGCATGACCTATGTAGGTCATGTAACAGTTACCACCATTACCAAGGGTCAGTTGCATGGTTACAGGTACTACTACTAATAGTATCTGTCAGGAATATCAGGAGTTTATTAACCAGCTAAAAGTTTATTAACTAGATGTATAAATTCTTTCATTTTGTTCCCAGGTTCCATACTTTTATCCGTAAAATTTTCTCTATTAATATTTTCTCTTCAGGATTTCTGTTGTCATAAAGGACTGTAGTATGATAGAATGTGGCTTTTCTGTAATTGTTCTATTTATCTGGCCTCTTTTCTTGTTGATTACTCTAAATCCTTTAGTTCTGATGGCAGAAGTGATTTTCTATCTTTTAGTTTTCCTGATGTATAATATTTATCAACTTATGTATTTTAGTTGACTTTTAGGGCAACATATAGAGATGGTGTAATGGAAGATGAACCAAAAGCATGTGCAGCTGTAAAGGGTACTCAAATAATGGTATGACTTTGACATCTCAGCATTCCTCTGTCAGATCCTCTCTTGAAATTTTATTCTTGACTAGATGTAGTTTATTTAGGCCCCAAGAATAAGTTTTAATGATGTGGAGAGATTTGAAGAACTTAATACATATGTATATGTATATATATTTTTTAAACAAATAGAGTACAAGAGAAATTTCCAATAATGTTGACTTATGGTCATTTCTCCTTTCAATTTAACTTTTAAAGAGGAGGTGGTTCACATTATGGAAGCTCCACCCTAAATCAGGAACTGCAGTAACTCTTTCTGTTGTACTCAGCAGTCAGCTCAACTAAGCCTTAGTCTAACTAGGCAACTATAGTTATTTTTTATAACACTTATTTATTTATTTATGTGTCATATATACATTATGATAATTTTGACATGTTTCATTGTTTTTCCTCAGATTGAAAACTTATTTTATAATATGGCTGCTCGGAGGAAAACTCTTCAGAACTCTGCTGATGATTATCCAAAAATTGTGGACCTCATTAGTAGGTTTGCCATTCATCATACGGATGTGAGCTTCTCTTGCAGAAAGGTTGGTGTTCTTTTGGGTAATTATGGCTATTATCATCACTCTTTACCTTAGCCCTTTTTCTTCTTTTTTAAGCATGATGTGACACTGGCTCATTGTTACATTACTTTGGTGCAGCACGGAGCTGCTAGAGCTGATGTTCACTCAGTTGCAACACCCTCAAGACTTGACGCAATACGATCAGTTTATGGCGTGTCAGTTGCGCGAAATCTGGTCAAAATTGATGCTTCTGATAATGATCCATCAAATTCAGTTTTTGAGATGGATGGATTCATTTCCAATGCTAATTACATTGCAAAGAAGATAACCATGGTACTCTTCATCAATGGTATGCACTATTATTCTGATCATTGAAGATAATAATTGGTTTCTTGAAGCTTTTATACCAATTTTATAATCTGTTTGTAACTGATAAACATGACCACTTAAGAAAAGATTGTCTTTTCTTGTTTCTTTTTGCATGTGGACATTTTAAAATGGGTATTATGACTTACATAACAATACAGCATACGTTTTATACATTTGATGGTTTGCTATTGGTAGATATTCATATTCTTTTACTTAGCACCCTATGTCATGTTTGCTATTTTCACTCTTATTAAGCTAAACAATCATTCTTGGTTTTTTTTTTTTCTTGGCCAAAGAGTGGAGCTCAATGGCCATTTTATTATTTTCCTTTTCAATTTTTCTGCTCGTGTTTCGTTAAATTGAATGGTGTATGAAGTCTAGACTGTTTCTCTACTATATTTTTTTTCCTAAAGAAGATCTTTCATTTCTTTATTTTCTTTTCCAGACAGACTTGTAGATTGTGGTGCTCTCAAGAGGGCAATTGAAATAGTTTATGGTGCAACATTGCCTAAAGCATCAAAACCATTTGTGTATATGTCGATCACTTTACCCCCTGAGCATGTTGATGTGAATGTCCATCCCACAAAGAGAGAGGTATTGATGATGTGCTGTTAGTTTCATTAAGTGATGCTTGTGGGAAGGTCTACTCCCACCTCTGTTTCCCATCTCTTTCCCTTCAAAATTTTCTCTCAGATTTAAGAAATTTATGTTTTATATAATAAGTGTTATACTTTAGGAGTGTTAAGTGTTGTGTTTAATAAACAGGTTAGCCTTTTGAACCAAGAGATTATTATTGAGAAGATACAATCTGTGGTAGAATTGAAGCTGAGAAGTTCCAATGAGTCAAGGATATTCCAAGAGCAGGTACTCGTAAGAAATCTTTTGGAAAGTAACATGTGATATTGATATTGATCCATGATCTTGAATGTGAAAATACTCTCCTGCTTTACAGTAGAATTACCATGTGCCAATGCAAAATCAAAAGTGAAATATCAATTTCAAGTGAAACATTAGTTCATCAAAAGTGATCACTATATGTGGACATTAGTGCATTCTAAGTGAACATTATTTTAAGAATTGAAAATGAAAGAGTAGTTTATCCAAAGTGAAAAACCAACTCATTCAAAGTAAATATTGCTCTCACAATACAGAGCACAGTGTGCAATGACGCATGGTAGTTTTTTTATGTGTACTTTTGTGCACATTACATTTCTGAGAGCATAGTAACTTAATCAGAATAAACTTTATACTTTTGGATCTTCATTTATTCCTGAAGTTAAACCTAAATCCTTGCATGCTTCATTATGAGTCATACTCTGCATGTCATCTTTTTCTTTTTCTAACTTTATGCTCTATTTCTAATATGGTGCAGACAATGGATCCTTCTTCATCTAGTCCTTTGGCTACAAGCCAAGATTCACAAAAAGATCCCTCCAAATCTGGTATAGTGGATATATTCCCAATTTATCCTTGAATTATGGGCAAATGTACTTGATCTGATGTGTAGAATTGTTCTGACTTTTTAGATTTTTATCTTTTTTATAATCCAATTAGCTAATCTTGCCTGTTACAGGGATAAAATCACAAAAAACTCCAGTTCATAAAATGATAAGGACAGATTCACTGGATCCTGCCGGAAGGTTGCATGCATACTTGCAAATCAAGCCTTCTAATAATCCAGAAAGAAGTTCTTGCTTGACATCTGTGAGGTAGAATTAATCTTCTGTGCATGTATATATTCATGCATACATCAACTTGACTTAACGAGTAAATTTTAGATGATTATAAAGAGAGAGAAAGACATAAATGTGAACTTTCCTAGTGACTTTGCTGTAGCCACTCATGGCATATCCTTATGTAAAGAATTGGCCTTGTAGGTCTTCTATTAGACAAAGGAGAAACCCTAAGGAGACTGCTGATCTTACTAGCATTCAAGAGCTCATTAATGAGTTTGATTCTACCTGTCATTCTGGTATGTGCCAATATATTAAACCATACTGATGATGATGAAGATGAAATCAGCCTTTGATTTCTACCAATTTAAAATTCTTTATCCTCATAGGTTTGCTGGACACTATAAGGCACTGCACATACATTGGGATGGCGGATGATGTTTTTGCTCTGCTTCAACACAATACTAACCTTTATCTTGCAAATGTAATTAACTTGAGGTAATTCTTTTAGTCAAATTAACCAAAAATTGCAGCTGTATGCAAGTACTAGCTTTTTTATTTTTTATTTTTTTTGCATCTTGATCCATGTTTGTTTAACAGTTGAAGAAACAGAAAACCAGAGTGTTTGGGATCTGGCATGCAAACAAACAAATAAGAGGGAGAGGGGAGGAACATGAAAGTAAATTTCTACATAATAAACAGAAGCATTTTTTATTGTCATGAACAATGATGAGTATTTAGAAATGTATCAGAACTGCAGTTTAATTCTTATACCAGATCTGAAGCCATGCATTGTTTATATTTGTATAGCAAGAAGGGGAAATGGTTCTACTACCGATTTATATGCTATTTTACCTTTATTCTTTGATGAGTTCCATCTAAGTTGTCATGTCAAGTAGCTGAATACCTGTAAACTGAGTTTAACTTTACTAGTAATATGACACTAGTTATGTTTAAACATTCTGCTCTTGTATACTATATTGAGAATATGAATTTAATTTCTTCTTCTTGCTTTTTTCATTCCGTTGGATTTACAGAAAAAATTGATTTGATAATATTTCCTTCTGTTTGATGCTTCACAGCAAAGAGCTCATGTACCAGCAAGTTTTGACTCGGTTTGCACATTTTAATGCCATCCAATTAAGTGAGCCAGCCCCATTATCAGAGTTGCTAATGCTTGCTCTGAAAGAAGAAGATGTGGCTGCAGAAGACAATGAAAATGATGACCTGAAAGAAAAGATTGCTGATGTAACTTTCATCTCAATTCTTACCCCCCCCCCCCCCCTCCCTCCCAAAGAAATTAAAATAAAAAATAAAAAATAAAAAGCAAACATTGAACCCTTGAAGATGTCACCACATATATATAACTATTTTTTGCTTGTTTTCATCCTATTAATCTGGGAGTGGGAAATTCAACTTTCCTGGTTTAATTCTTGCAGTAAATCATATTTACTTATAATTTTATTAATATTTTCATGCTAATATAAATTGGGGAAGTTTAATGTTAGATAGGCTGGATAACTATGTTCGCCCCTCCAATGCTCACCAAGTGTGCATAGGGTATTGGGTATTGTTTGACTCATATGTACCTCTTGAAGCTGCAAATATTGCAAGCAAAAGTTAGTTTTGGTGCAACTCTAGTTTCTCTTTGGACTTGTGCTTGTTTATATGTTTGCATCTTAATATTTTACCAACTTTTTGTTATAATAAGCTTTCTTATTGAATCTGTGATGTAGTTTTTACAGTGGTCTTCCTTTGCTGTTTTTAGATGAATACAAGTCTGCTCAAGCAAAAGGCTGAAATGCTTGAGGAGTATTTTAGCATCTATATTGATTCAAATGGTAACCTGTCCAGACTTCCTGTCATACTGGATCAGTACACGCCTGACATGGACCATGTCCCAGAGTTTGTGCTTTGTCTGGGCAATGATGTAGGTTCCTTTCTTCCTTCTTCCTATGGAAATTCTTTTGTTCCATTCTAGACTACTAGTGCACAAATCAGATTTGCTTGTTACAATAATTATTTATTTATTGGCATGTTCAGAATGAGAAGAGCCAAGATATGCTTTCTTGGCATTGTTATCCTGATCACTAGTACTCCTAAATTGGGTGTCCAACCTATCTTCATATTACTGTTGATGTATTTTAATTTTTCTTCACTTTGGTAGATTGACTGGGAGGATGAAAAGAATTGTTTTCAATCAATTTCTGCTGCTCTTGCCAACTTCTATGCCATGCATACTCCTTTGCTACCCAATCCCTCAGGCGATGGCTCGCAATTCTACAAGAAGGGGAAAAGTTCAAGCAGTATTGATGGGCAAGGAAACTCCTCAAAAACTACTGGTATGTGTGTTCTTATGAGTAAAAATTCCATAGAAAACTGAGGCAAATATAAGCAAAGTGTATTCCCCGTTGTATTTGTGGCTCTACCAGCCTCTTCTTGCTAGAGTCTTGGTGATGCATGATAGTTTGAATCAATTTATTTTCTTGAGTAATCAATATATTTCCAAAAAACAAAATCCCTACTTTTCAATCCCCCTCCCCAGCCAACCCCATCCAATCCCAATAAAGTAACATCCATTGATCTGAATTGGATAACTCTCTGAGATTCAGCATGGCAAAGACCCAAACAGAGCCTTTGAAGGAACTGAAAACTGCTCTGCTTGCTATTATTCTAACAGGGAATGACACAACGGAGGATGAATATGAAAATGATTTACTATCAGAGGCTGAGAATGCATGGGCACAGCGTGAATGGTCAATTCAGCATGTTTTGTTTCCTTCTCTCAGACTCTTCTTCAAGCCCCCAAATGCAATGGCTACAAATGGAACTTTTGTTCAGGTATTTAACATTGAGTTTATTGTTTTCTCAATATTTGTTACCAAGTCCTTATTCTAGAGCACCTTCTCCATCACAAACACAATTAAAAGAAAAACAATTCATTTCTTGTTCACCATCATTCTTGTGGTAGTTAGAAAATATCTCTCATATTCCAAACTCTAATTTTGAAACTGGAGTATATTGGCAGTTAGATGCATGGATACCTTTCATAAAAATTTGTTTCTTTGGATGAAGACAATATGTATGAGAACTGAACTTTAAACTCAACTGCCCCAATATAGTAAACACACACTTCAGTACATTGTCAAAAGCCGGTTTCTTGTGATTTTTGCTCTAAAGCAGTGTCATTTCTCCCTTTTTAACAGGTTGCTTCACTGGAGAAGCTTTACAGAATTTTTGAAAGATGTTAAGATGGGTAGCAGAGGAAATCAATTGCATATTTTGGAATGTACAGTAGAAATATGTGTAGTTGATTAGTTTGCCCTTCGAAACTGGAGTATATTGGCAGTTAGATGCATGGATACCTTTCATAAAAATTTGTTTCTTTGGATGAAGACAATATGTATGAGAACTGAACTTTAAACTCAACTGCCCCAATATAGTAAACACACACTTCAGTACATTGTCAAAAGCCGGTTTCTTGTGATTTTTGCTCTAAAGCAGTGTCATTTCTCCCTTTTTAACAGGTTGCTTCACTGGAGAAGCTTTACAGAATTTTTGAAAGATGTTAAGATGGGTAGCAGAGGAAATCAATTGCATATTTTGGAATGTACAGTAGAAATATGTGTAGTTGATTAGTTTGCCCTTCATGATGGGGCTTAGGTAATGTCTGATGATATGGAGAATGTGAGCAAAAACACGGTGAAATTATCAACATAATTTTAGAATCTGAACAGAAAATGCAAAATGTCATCTTTACAAGCCTAATAGCATATTCCAGTCTGACACAATAAAGTGGTCTAATTCCTTATCAATGCATACCCCCTAATATTTCACAAATCTTTAAATGTTCGGGAAAATGAAAAACTCATCATCTAAGCCATCAAACGAGTGGTCTTTAGATTGACGACTAGTGCTTAAATACCGAATGCCATGCCGAGGTTATACAAAATGAAAGACAAAAGCCTTTGTGGCTTGACTGGATCTTCAGAGGTGTAATAATGGTGATGTTAAAGGGCTAGCTGGATCTTCTTTTTTATGCAAATTCTCTGTATCCAAAATCCAAATCTTCCTGCCTTCCTACTCCAAGCAAAAATATCAAATCCAGTTGCTGTCACTGTGATTCAAGAAGGATGTTTGTAGCAGCATTAACGTCATTTCTAGCACGGATGAGTGCCTGCCTAGCAGAGTTTCTGTCAAAGCCCATCGATACTAGCGTGGTAATTGATTCCTCAGGTGGCTCTACAGCAGAAGACAAAGGAGCAGCATAGTTTCCCTGAAGCAAAACACAGGAAGTAGGTAAGAACACAATTGAAAAACTAGTTATCCTCTAGGTAACAACTCTGAATTGAAATGGCACTAGACTACATTATAACAACACAAATGACACCAGATTCAACCATATCTTCAAGATCAATAAACATTAGCAAGTTCAGGCGGAGGAGAGAGTCGCTAAAAGAAAGCACTTCCAGTGGCCTTGAGCACCAAAAGAATCCTTCTATAAAGGAGGGCATGCTAGTCTTATTGGCCAGCTTGTCCAATGAGGCATTTGTATGCCCTGCCAGGCCAGACAGGTCAACAAGAATAGATTTTTTGAATGCTATTGACTCTATTACAATGTAGTTTCTGTTCATACTTTCTCAACCTACAATGCCCCCACACTAAGGTTCGAACTTGAAACCTCTCATTTGAGGGGCCACAGCTATCTCGACCACGTCAACAAGAATAGATAAGTGCTTCACATTTGCTATTATCTAAGTTCTGGAGTTACGTGCTTACCGTGCTAACTTAACCTATTATTTTACATTTTTACTGCGTTCCTGCTCAAGCCCATCCAAGAATACTGGATGTCCTGAAGGACTACATTTTTTAAGGATAGATGAAATCAAGAAAACTGAGACATCAGACATTTTTTCCCAAATTTGATGGCGCCCGCTTTCCCAATGGGCCATGACAATTATGGGCAATGCTTCCTCAGGTGACCATAAAATAAAAAATTAATACACAATAATCAAAGCTCTCATAGTTCGCATCAAAGACAATACTTACCTCAACTTGGCGACTTGCATATGATGGCACATTTCCCAAAGCATTCCTTGGTGCTGGAGATGGTGTGCTCCCTGTGGATGGCCAGGAAAGTCGGGAGAAGAAGGAAGCAATAAAATCTGGAAACTGTAAATAGAAAATATATACACTAAGCATAAAATGAATTACTGGATGAAGATCAAGCATAAGAAACAATGTTTGTAAAGAGGAACACAAAATTAAATTCATCAAACGAGTGCAACCTTTGTCTCACATAAAGTATAAAATTTAGGAAAAAGTCTACCAAATACAAAATGTAGAGATTTATGTTTGCACTGCATGAATAAGTTCAGGCTTAGAATTAAAACCTATTACAAGTTAACTTTGTGAAAGAGGAAGAGGCCAAGAGGGAAGAGATTGGCATGCTTAAAAGCCATTTAGAAATCAGAACATTCGTACAAGCCACCAACTCAGACAAAAAATATACATTTTCCCCACACCATGATGCACATTATATATTCCAACCAAAAAATACACACACACACACACACATTGTTGAAGGGTTTAGTTCAGTGTAGAGATAAATTCAAACAGAGGGGAGAGAGAGAAGAGGCAAAACCTTCACCCTCCGAATGCGGAAAACATTCATACGATACAAGCAACCAGCAAGAATTCCACAGAGGCCCGGCAGAATAGACCTTTTCCAAGATGAAAAAAGAAGCTGCAAAACAAAAATTCAGAGTACTGATAACATATAAAAAAGGAAAGGCAACATGGAAAACTTTTCCTACAAACTTCAGAAAGAAAAAAACATCAAATGGCAAACAATGAACTACCTGAAGACCAGCTAAATAAATAAATGCCTTGTCAGAAAAATGGAGGCTAAACACGCGGAAACGAGTTGAGACTGGTATGTCAAGATAAAAGGGTACAAATGATGAGAATATTAAACCATAGGGCCCAGATGTGAGTATACTTAAGGAAGGATCTGCAAAAATAAATCAATATGTAAGTTACTGCTGAAAACTTGTGAAAGCTTATTAAAAAAAGTGTGTGGGAGGGGGGGGGGGGGGGTAGTGGTGGAAGAGAGAGAGAGAGAGAGGGGAGTAAAATTCGTGAAACAAATATTCTAACAAAATTTACTTTATCAATAAATAACACTAGGAAAATATAAAAGTAGAAGTTCTGATATAAGCTAGGACAGTGGAATGTTTAAGTGAAATAAATTCACACTAAATCCCCTAATATCAACAAATATGCAAGATAGGTAGAGTAGTCATTAATTTCACCCCTAAACAACAATTTTTTAATATGATCTTTCCATGATATAATGCCCATCTTGAAATAAGCTCTTTGATTCAAAATTCAAAAGGCTGAAGCCTAATTTATTAAGTTATGGCCTTTCTTAGTGTTTTTTATCTATTTATTTATTAATATTTTGGTACGAAACTGTTTTTTCCATTCTTGTATTTTCTTAAGACAATGTTGACATTCAATTACAGAGTATTTACAATTGACTGGTTATGGAAGCAAAAAATTCAAACAATTTCTTTAATCCAACTGATTTGGCACTCGGATATGAAATTATAAAAATCTATATCGGTTCAAATCTCAAAGTTGGGATATCAATTCTTAGTATAATAGGAATCATCAAGCACTACCTTTAAGAAGTTTTAATGCAATGGTCTCTAGTAGTAAAGAAACTATAACAGAGAATAGGATGAAGACCTGCAAAAAAGAGATATACCTATCAAAACAAAAACAAGGGAGCAAGATGCAGAAAGTCAAGCCGCATGCAGATATGAATTCCCCAGCCCCCTCCCCAACACACACCACCCCCAGCCCTCTTCCCGCCGTCTTCTTTCTCCATAAGAAAGTAGAAAGAAAATAAGAAATAAAAAGCAAAGAACAAAGAACAAATGGATTAAATTATATCTCTAAATTTGCCACAATATTATCTCAACCATTTACTTTCATAGTATTCACATCATATATCAGCGCTAAAATTAATTTCCAATAAACCAGATACCACCATTTCTTAGAAAGGAGATGTATTACCATTTAATACAAGCTTCTAACAAAAAGAGGTGATAGAAATGTTTGTTCATAAGTAAAAATCTTTTGATTCTCTTTATATTCTTTCAAAAAATATATACAAAACAACTAAAGCAGCCACATCAAGGAGTCCATTTGTTGAACAATTTTCTTTTTTTTTTTTTTCCTTTTTTTCATCTGATTAATATGTTAAGTGTAGCAAATGATCTCTTCTATTGAGGGAACAAAGAGGATTAGCTTAAAACTCTTTTATTTCTTTCTATTAACAAGTGATTAATGGATTGACAAATGCGATTGGCCTTGTTAGATTCCTTCTACAAGAAGGGATTAAATATTTAGAGGGTGCAATATCATCTCTTATACTTTTCCTGTATTTTTTTTCATCTTTAGTTGCTAAATTCATCTGCCTTACATTCAGACAATTAACCCAGTAACAATCATCTGAGACAAGTAAATGACTGCTGGAAGCAGTCAGGATATATTTCTCTCCCATTAAATATTGGTTTTAGTTATTGTGTTTAAACATCAATATACTTAAGATGTGAAATCAACTAATACACTTTTGCATTCATATTCAGCATTCTAAAGAATTACTCCGTAATAAGATGACTAAGTCTCAAGTAACACTTACAGAATACTTATTCGAACCAATTTGCCTTTCAAAGACTCGGAAGTAGTAGAGCAGATATGCTCCAAATATTAGTTCTGGGGTAGATGAAAAGGAAAATACAGATACAATTAGCTTCCAGAGTTGAAGTTTCTTGAAGATATCCTGTCACATAAGAAATGATCAAGTAAATAACACATCTCTATTGAAAAATATACACATTTCTATGGTATGTAGCTCAACTTGATGAATGCCATCATGCACAATAAAAACACAAGGTTTGTCATTCTTTTATTATGGAATTAAAGACATGCATCAACTTTCCCTTAGAGCTATTCGAATTTCAAACACTGCTACAAATCATAAACTAAAAATGATAACCATAACCAAAAAGAACAGGAAAGCTTGTAAGTGATGCTATAGGATCTCAAAAAGAAATGGCCTTAAATTTTTAACTTGGGAATTTAAAAGAAAGTACACAATTGAACCTAGCTCAAATTATAATGGCAATACCAGGCAGAAAACCTGAATCCGTCAAATTTATAAAACCCAATTTAAGCTAACACAACACTATAACAACTCAAAATCCTAGCCCTTTTTTCCAGAATACAGTAACAGAACCCCGCTTTTTCATCAAATGCAAATATGGTAAGTATATTACGATGATCTCATACAACATTGATAAGATACAGAGACGAACGAATTCAAAGTGCAGAAAATAACCTGATAAGACCATCCGAGGTTGCTGGAACGGCCTTGAATTCCAAAGACGATTGTGAAGAGAGCACACACAATCACCAACGCTCTCGTCACCGGCGCATTGTCTATTACACAGTAACAGCCATTAAACAAAAGCAACAATTAGGAAATCATAATCATACGTGCCTATGCATCATGAAACCAGATGGAAAAAGATGTGATTGAGATCGAGAGGTGCGTACTGAAACCAGATGGGCCGCCGTTCATCTCCGTAGTGAACCCGACGACCTGAATTGAGCTCACCGTCAATTATCCTTCGGCGCTTATGCTCTTCCACTTCCGCTCTGTCTGTACCAATATGTACAACTGTATGTACGTATAGTCAGTCAATCTCTCCGCCTCTTCGTCTTCTTCAAGAAATTTGCCCTCTTCTGGAATTCTCTTCGCGATGGGGATTTATCGGATTTGTTCGTTAATGCCGGAGGTTTGGTAAACGGGTCGGGCTGCTTTTTCTTGGATTTATCACAAGTCCTGAACCCTTTTAAGTTAGAGCGTTAGATTGTAATTTCAGAATAAACTAAGGGCCTCCATAGAAATAGAGTGAATTCCATTTTTGGTCCTACTGTTATAGGGGCGTTTCTAGTTTCAGTCCACTTTAATTTTGTTTGTCACTTTACCATCACTGTTATTAAATGTGTTCCACTTTTAGTCTATCGTTAATATTTCCGTCAAGAGGTCGTATAATCAAAGAGTATTTTGGTCTTTTTATGTTTGTCTCTTCTCTTTTAATCCATGCGTTTCGTCCTCCTCCTCCGATATTCGAAGATGGATCTTCGAACAACGAGAATGGGAAGCCAAAGCTACATCGTTTCGTTCATTCCAACATGGGCCGGCGAGGTTTCTTAGGTTTTAGGTTTAATGTTCTCATTTCTTTAGTCAATCATAGTCTTGGATGAGAATAAATGTCAAAATACCCCTAGATTACACGGCTTCTTGATGGAAATACTAACGGTGGGACTAAAAGTGGAACACATTCAATAATAGTGGTTATAAAGTGGCAAAAAAATTAAGATGGACTAAAATTGGAAACGCCCCTATAACAGTAGGACAAAAAATGGAATTCACTCAGAAATATATGAAGTCTCTAGGTTAGGATGGCAATGGGATGGGGTAGGTGCAGGGGATATATCCCCACTCTTGCACCTGCATTTCCAACCCACTCTCCGCACCCGCACACATGCGGGTAATGAAATTTTGATCCCATACTCACTTCCGCGAGGATTTTGCGGGTGCAAGTAATACCCAACTCGCAATTCTAATTATTCATATTACAATTAAATCTAATAAAAAATTTATACTACAATTCTAATTATGGGAGTTTTTATAACTTTGAACATAACTCTAAAATTTAATAAAATCTAATAAAGTTAATCCTTAATTGGAACTAAAATTGTGTTGATAGTATAAATTGAATTAAGTGTTTACTTATTATATATATAATCTACTATACTAATAAGAGCCCAAGAGAGTTAGGCCTATAATGGGTAGAAAAAATGGCGGTCAAATTTTTTAATCAAATGAATGGCTCAGATTGATCAGATTTTAATTTTTCCTTAAAATTTACTAATTTATCCTTAATGAATATGATTATCCGTTAACTTTTCCGTTAAATATTATCTTTTCCGTTAATTTCTGTTAGTTCACCGTTAACTTACTCATTGATTTCAATAAGAAAGGTCTTAGGTTCAAACTCCATCCCAATCAAAGTTGGCATAATTAGTACTCTATTTTACTCTTATTAAATTAATAAATAAATAATAATTTAGTAGCTACAACAAAAAAATAATACATATGCATTTCTTTAATTTAGAATTATGCGTCTACAATGCCTTTATTCAAAAAAAAAATTATTCATTATCAATAAATTAAATAAGAGAAATAATTTCATTAGTTATATTGTCTTTAGTTTTCTCCAATATAACAATTCTTTACATTCAAAATTAAAATTCATCAATTGATTATATTCGCTACATTGTCCCTACAATGTCTTTATTAAAAAAAATTATTCATTATCAATAAATTAATTAAGAGAAATAATTTAATTAGTTATATTGTCTTTATTTTTCTCCAATGTAAAAATTCGTTACATTCAAATTCATCAATTGATTATATTCACTACATTGTCTATTATCTTTTTTGTGCACTAATTTTTAATTAAATATTAGAGTTATAATACAAAATAATGATATATATTTATTTACCAAGTATTTTATTAATACCATGAAAAATTTTAAATTAATAAAGTCAATCATATTGACTACTTGAGGGATTTGTTGACAAAGAGAGTATTCAAATCACACAACAAATTGAAGTGAGAAACTGCCTCGAAATGTCCTTGTTTGACAATCAACAATTAGCGGATTTGACCAACGAATTATAACAACGGTTGGTAAAAAGATATTTAAAAAAAAATTAGCTATTTATATTTATATTTAAAATGACCTAAGGGTATACATATTATAATAATAATAATAATAATAATAATAATAATAATAATAATAATAATAATAATAATAATAATAATAATAATAATAATAATAATAATAATAATAATTGTTTTAATAATAATTTTTTTAAATATAGATGTGTTTTGGGGAAATCATTCTCAAAAACGCTAAGTGAAAATATTGTAAATTGCAATGTTTGTATTTTCAGTGGTTTGGAATAAATTGTTGCTTCAAACTGTTGAATAACCAAAACACTTTCTTTAGCATTTTGATCTTTGGATTACATCATATTTTCCAATCGTCCAATATCTTTGGGTTACATTATAATTAAAAATTTTAAATTTTTACTACATCTAAATTCCTTAAATTAGGATTTTCTTTATCCATAATAATTTATTCAACAATAATGGTTGAACTAAATGAACACTGAGCAAAACACCTAAAGGACCGGTACCGTTGATTCATTCAATGATCTTGTATATATGTGCATTCATTAAATATATTAGAACCCTTTGCAACAAAAATATTTGGTTACTATTTAAAAATTTTTTTAGTAAGAATTATAATGAATCTCCTATATTTCATTGTATTCATATACTATGAATTACATATTTAAATAAACAAATTAGACATTAAATTACTTATGTTGAACTTCTCATATATAATCTTGCATTGATATACTTTAAAATGTTTATTTAATTATAAACATTGAGTAGAAAAAATGACCGACAAATTATTAAATCAAATGAATAGTTCAGATTGTTCATATTTTAATTTATCCTTGAGATTTCCTATTAATTTTTCCTTGAGATTTCCTAATTTATCCTTAATTTATGATTATTCGATCCATTAACTTTTTCATTAAGTACCGTTAATTCACCGTTAGTCTAATTCTAATATTAAATTCTAATATAGAATTATAATTACAACATTAATCTAATTCTAATATTAAAGTCTTAATAGAACTCTAACCATAAATCTTACTGCCGGAATCTCCTCAAACAATATTAGTATATATTTAATATTTTATACTTTAATTTTTATTTGCTATCCCTTATGTCCCGTATTTAGTTTCAAGTCTTTCAACCATACCCATACAATTATTGTATTGACAATTATAATCAATTTTGACTATATTATATTGCATTTGTAAATTTAGAATTATCAATTTAAATACGCAAATTCAACATTCAATTATCTATGCATGAACAATTTCAATATAATCTTGCCTTGATATACTTTAAAATACTTATTTAAGAAAAACATTGGGCATTATCCCAATCACGCAATGCGCGTAAAAAACTAGTATAAATATAAATGAATACTAATAACAAAATATATACGTGCGGGTGCGGGGCGGGAATACCTTCCCCGCACCCATACCCGCGGGGTATACAAAATTCCTCTCATATCCACACTTATTATCCAAATTGTGCGGGTATTTTAAAACTTGTAGAGCCGGGGATGCAGGGAACCCATTGGATACGAGTAAAATTGCTATTCCTACTCTAGATCAAGTTACCCAACATTTCTTCTCTTGCAATACAATTTTGTTACAAACGAAAATTGCATTTTTAGTCCATATTGTGACTTCAGTTGTTTTAGTACACAAATTAGTGGTAGAAATAGTCGCTACTTAGTGCATAACTTAAGGTGAAAAGATGGTCATATATATATAACGCAAGAACTAAATTGGTCATATATATAACGCAAGAACTAAATTTGTATTGCGAATATAATTAAAGGACCAAAAATATAATTTTCTCATAAATAAAACGTCACTCAGATAAACGGGTAGAGACAATACCGCTTCCATTGAGATTCGAACCCGCAACCTCTCATATGAAAAAACAACTTAAAAAGAGCAACTTAAACGTTTTATTAGTTTCATCAGTCTAAATTAATGTATAAAATATTCCATTATATATAAATAATGATGATTATTCATACATTCTAAACAAGCAATTCATATTGCTCTACAATTGTAACCTTCTTATGGTATTCAGCTCTAAGAAATAGAACCATAATAATTACCACTTTCATTATCTCTTATAATTATTATTGTATTGGAGGTTGAGAACTTATTTTTGCCAATCGTTATACCATACACCATGACGCACATAGCATTGTGCGTCCCGCGCCTCCCAAATGACGTCGTTTTGGTAAGTTATGTAGAGAGTTGACGTGATTATGTGTATTTGTTTATACAATTATGTGTATTTTTTATACAATTATGTACATGTTTTTTATACAATTATGTACATCCGAATTAGGAAATAAAAAAAAAAATATGTGTATTTTGTTATACAATTATGTACATTCATGTATACAATTATGTGTATTCTTTTCTCAAAAAAAAAATTATGTGTATTTTAGTATAAAATTATGTACATTTTTCAACATGATTTTTTTTTTTTAAAGAAAATTAACCGTCAACGATATAAATTACCTACTCAAAAAAAAAAAAAAAAAAAAAAAAAAAAAAAAAAACTAAAACGATGTCATTTTGCATCAAGGTGCACAATGTAATGCATGCCCTGGTGCACGATATAAATTACCTATTTTTGCACCCCCATAGTTGGGCCGTAGGTCCGGTGAATAAAGAAAAACCAGCAATACAAAATGTAAAATACATAACCCGTGTTAAATGGATAGTTATGCTGTGCATCTGGATGCACCATGCATGGTGCATACGGATGCAAAAACGACGTTTTATTAAAAACGCGCGTCTCTTCTTAAAAAAAATTCAAGTTCGATTCCCAGCAACAGCATTATGTTGTTCATTCATTCTGGAATTTTAGTTCATAGATTATGGAATTTTAGTTCATTGATTCTGGAATTATAGTTCATCGATTCTGGAATTGTAGTTCATCGATTCTGAAATTTTAGTTCATAGATTTTGGAATTTTAGTTCATTCATTCTGGAATTTTTAGTTCATAGATTAGATTCTGGAATTATAGTTCATCAATTCTGAAATTTTAGTTCATATGTTGTTGCTGGGAATCGAACCTGAATTTTTTTTTTTTTAATGAGAGACGCACGTTTTTAATAAAACGATGTCGTTTTTGCATCCATATGCACCATGGTGCATACGGATGCACAGCATAATTTGCCGTGTTAAATGGCTTCTTTTAAGTTTTAAACTTTCTTCTTTAACCTGTGAAAGCCCAAGGCTTACTAACTACGGAGTATATAGCTAATCATGAATTCGGGCTGTAAGAACAAACCCATTGATTTAAGTTTTCATTTGAGTTTTTGGGCAAATTATGCTGTGAAATGTGTACAAGGTTCTAAAACTGTCATAATTGTGGATGTAGAGTTCAAAAATTATCAATATAGAGTTTTATAATTATGAATATAGAATTCAATAATTGTGATATGAAATTCAAAAATTATGAACATAGAGTTTTATAATTATGAACATAGAATTTAGTAATTATGAACATAAAGTTCTGTAATTGTGAATATAGGGTTTAATAATTGTAAATATGAAGTTAAAAAATTATAAACATAGAGTTCAGTAATTATAAATATCGAACTATGTCCACCTTGCAAAGTGGACACGGCTCCACACCTAACAATTGGAGTTTTTATAAAAAAGTTGTCAACAGAGAAAAATATATATATATAGTTGGTAACTATCCTGACACATTCAGTAGATTTGATAATATTTTATATATTTTAATGTAAAAGAATTATATTGCACTTCTCAATCTAAATAATTAATTAACATTATTTCTTACCTCAAAAGCTAAATCCCCAACCTTAAGGGTCCCCCACATTCTGACCCGACAGAGCATGTGAGAGAATATAAATCACAGTGACTCAATAAGTTAGTAGACAAGGCCAAATGCTGGTGCGCAAAATTAACATTATTTCTGTATTAACATAAAGTAGTGATTAAAGTTAGCTACTTTTCAACTGTGGAAATTATAATGGCCCTGTTTGGTAAAATGGCTGTTAGCTGGATAGCTGTTAGCTGTTAGCTGATTGTGTTAATTAGATGGTATAAATAATTGATAACATTAGCTGATTGTAGAAAAGTGTTTGGTATAATTTCTTTTCTCGAAAAGCTAATTGAAAAAGTTGCTTTGAGTAGCTTTTTGAATTTTAACCTTTTGGAGTTGCAAAAAGTTAATTAACCAAATATTTATATTGATATTTTAACTAAATTAAACAATTAATAATAATCATTTTCAAAAAAAAAAAAAAACAATTAATAATAATCAAATAAGCCAAAATTAGCCTATAGACCAATTTTTTTACCAAACTGGGCCAATATCTTTTCCCTATTTCGTCACTTCAAAATTCTGATTGCTTATCGCAAATAGCTATAATCTTCATCGTTATCCATATATGAGCAAATCAGGTGTGATCTCTTCTGACTTTACACCTACTTCCTACTACTTGTAATTACTTGTAATTCTTATATTATTGTTGCAAGTAATCTGATATATAATTTAGTTGTATGAAGAACCTAAATGTGTAAAACAAATCAAAAATGGAATTATTTGAATATAACGTGCTTAGTACAAAGGATAAGTTGGGATGTTAAGTCGAATTTCACAATAAATTAGGAAGTATTAAAGATAGTACTGATCCAGAAAAGTTCCTTACTTTAAAGGGTTAATTAGTTGGCCTTTGTAACATTGGGTGAGAGAACACATATCGAATTCGTACACTAAGGATACGCGACGCTTGCCTATAAGCTCAATCAAGTCAGTTGTGTCATGTGTCTATTGAGTTAACTTAGGCTGATCGGATATCTGAAAAAACACTTCACAAGTCATTTGTCTGTTTAGGTGGAGTAGTCGACTTCTCGATCTAACAGGTCGAGAGCGCATTCCTGAAGTCAGGTAGGACATGGTCGGGAATCGGCGTACATACTCCACATATTTTCATTAGTAAGTATTTACATATTTTAATAAGTGTGAAATATATAGAGTTAGAATTGCAATCGTTTAAGTGTTTGACCACAGGCCATGAGAATTAATGTTCTAAAGCCCGTATGGGCAGCTCAACTGGTCATAATGGTAAAATTTGGGAAGAATTAATGTTCTAAAAGATTGGTAAGCATAATGCATTGTTCATTGTAGCAGCTTATCCTAAACCATATGTCCATATCCCATTTGATCATTTTTCTTCCATCTTATCCATTCCCCATTATGTCAATGTCAAAAGGGATTAAATGCTATCTTATAGATAAATACTGAACATTTCAAATATCTTCCCAACCAACAAGTTCATCATGAGATTCAATATATAATTAGTCCAATCAAAACAAATTTATATAGCTCTAACATATAATCTGACAAAACTGAAAACGAAATTATCAAAAAAAATATCTTCCCATCACTTAAATGAACCAAATTCATAGCACAAAGGACAAGAAACTTGTGTGAGTAATGCACCAATTAAAATCAAAATATTTTCAAAAGAAAACAAAAGATTTACACAAATTTTACAAGGCAAAGTTGTGTATTAGCTAGTAACAAATATGTTGTCTTGAATACATTCCACAATAATACTTTCTCAAATTTCTGCTCCCATATATTTAGAACAATCCAAAGACCAAAACCCCTCTTAAATGAAAAGAAAAAAAAAATGCAACAAATATTTTATAACATATCCCAGACCATAAAATTAAATTTAAGAAAGAAAAAAATTCTATGAACAAGGAAAGAACCCTTCCTTTCATATGGAACTTGAAGCACCCGGAATCAATCAATCAATCAATCAAGCAGATCAGAGGGCTTTGGTCTTGGACCTATAGAGAAGCTTCTTCCTTTTCGAGGTCTGGTTGTCGAACGTTAACACGACTTTTCCCGCGCTCTCGGCTTTGTAGGTGTTGCCAATTATCGTCTCGTCGGCCGATCCAATCTTCCTCGACTTCTCTACTATGATGGTGTAGGCGCCTTCGTCGGCTGGCACAAACTCCGCTCCATAGGAGATATCCCACCCGACCACTCTCGCCTCCCAAACCAAAGTGCAATTCTGCAAGTTCAACGACTCCCATTAAACGTTATAATGCAACAACAAACTCCTAACTCGAAAAATGAAAACCGAGCTTTTTTATTACCTCGGTGACAGGCAATTCGATAGTATGCTTGCAGGTCGGCTTGATAGTGTCCTCTATCGCAGGGTCAGTAGTAGTGAACTCATAATCGCCTTCCCGGCTAAGTCCACCATATTGAACTGGCACTTGCTCGGGCGCAATGTATCTAAGTTTCCACGGTTTCAACACAAAAATGTTAAGAAAACGAAGTAGTTCACACGCTTCAAACGCATAAACAGATAACCGAAAGAGCATACTAACTTGAAGAGGGTCTCGGCAGACTTGGAAGGGCCCGCAAACACAAACTTGCTCTTCGTCCTCGTGGTGAACAGCGCATTGATCATCCGATAGTAGGATGGGTACCACCAAGGAACATTGATGAACACCTTCATAGCAAAACAACGCACACAATTCGAATTCATACCAATCCATAGTAAAGCACTAAAGCATCAACAAAATTCACAGACACAACAATCATATACAAGTTCATTTGATAATAAAGATTGAATCTTTTAGGATTGGTGGTCCATATATCTTCAAACCAACAAGCTTCAACACAATTTGAATGCACAACAATCACCAATAAGTCTTAAATAATGATAAAGATTGAAACTTTAGTAGATCAACCACATATCCTTCAAATAATAGCTTGAAGATTACAAGTTCAACTCCCCCATTGGAACCACTTATGAACTTTCTTGGTTTGAACCGATCAACCACATATCCTTCAAATAATAGTTTGAAGATTACAAGTTTAACTCTGCGATGGGAACCAGGACTTTCTTGGTTTGAGCCAATCAACCAAGACTTATTTACCACTAGGGCCCTCCTTGTGGTCCTTTGCCATTAAGGTCAAAAGGCAAAATTAAGGTCACAAGTCAAGATTTACCCCATGCACATTACCCTTTGAAGATTACAAGTTAACTCCCCGATGGTAATCACTTATTTACTTTCTTGATTTGAACCGATCAACCAAGACCGATTTCCGTCCTTGTGATCATTTGCCACCGGCAATTAAGGTCACAAGACAAGATTTACCACACGCACACTACCCTTAAATCACACCCTTAGGCTCTAGCGGGTCACAAGACAAAGTTTACCGGGTACACACTAACCCAAAAATAGTTTAAAGATTCAAACTTTATGTAATTATATGCTAGTTTTGTGAGGGTTTGGATGAGAATTTAGTGAACAAAGAATACCTGTTTGGCAACAAATTCTGGGTAGTTGTCTTGGAGTAATTGGAGAGCCCTGTTGGTGGCCTGGCGGAGCTCTTTCTTGAAGAAGAAAAGGCCAGGGGAGTTCTTGAGATCAATGACCTGAACAAAGGTGCAAATCCCATCTGGGCTGAAGTCGAGGTTTCTGATTGATTTCTCCATGAATTGGATCCTCCATCGCAGGAAATTGTTGAGCTTTTCCTTGTCGGAGAAGGTGCTCTGGTACAATTCTTTGTCCTGAAACTCTCCGAAGGAATTGTAGCAGATTGGGTGGCCTTCTTTGTCGACTCCGTGCATGTAGACAACCTTATCTAGGCCTTGACCCAGTTCGGATTCTCCGAGGAGCTCGTCGATTTTGAACTCTTTCCGCCATGAAACCACGCTTTTGAGCATATTGAAGGCGTCTTTGACCTTGAAATCGCGTGCCCGGAGGAATTTGAGGAGAATCACGTCGCTGCGTTCGTCGGCGAGGAGGGGAATTCCCCAGATGGAAACCTCTTCCGGTACTGGTGGGGGGGCTTCTTCTTCCTTTTCCTCCTCGCCGGCGCCGCCGTCGGCGGCGGCGGCGGCGGGGGCTGGCTCTTCCGCCGGTGGGGCTGCGGCGGCTACTTCCACGATGGTCTCCTTGATTTCCTCCGCCGGTGGGGCGGCCTTTTCGTCGACGACAACCACCGCGGGCTCCGCCGGCGCCTCCTCCGTGGGTGGCGGTGGTGGAGCGGTTTTCTCCTCCTCCTCTTTCTTTTCCGCCTCCTTGGGTGCTGATTCTGGCTCCGGGGCGGCGGCGGGTGGGGCCGCCACCTCTTCTGTTTTCTCTTCGGCCTTGGGTGGCTCCTCCGCCGCCGCCGGAGCGTCGGCCGGTGCAGCCTCAGTTTCCTTACTCTCACTCTCAGCGGGTTTCTTCTCCTCCTCCTTCGCCGGCGCCGGCGGCGGCGGCGGCGGCGGCGGAGCAGTAAACTCGTGCTTGTTCAAAGCCTCCTGAATCAACTGCTTAAACTCATCCAAAGCTTTCTTCTCCGGGTTCGGAAGCTCCTCCACCTTATTACTCTCCTCCTTAAACGACGTCGATTCTGCAACACCACTCTTCTCCTTCTCACCTTCCACCACCACCGCTTCTCCGGCGGCCTCGGGTTCAGCCTCCTTCTCCACAACCGCCGGAGCCTCCGGCTTCTCCGCTACCGGCACATCGGAAACCACCACCTCCTCGGCAGCGGCAGCAGGTGCTTTAGTTTCCTCAGCCATATCAGATCAGTGAATTAAAATTAAAATTAAAATTAAAACTGAAATATAAATCAAAGAAAACCCAAGAAAATGAGAATTCAAGATTTCTTTTTTTTGAAGAAAGAATTCAAGAAAATTTTGATTCTGGGAAGAACGGTGGCGAAGAAGGGTTAATATTATGGCGTGTCATCCCGGGGTGGTATGGGGGAGGGGGGTGGGGTGAAACAGTTCGGTTTGCCAGCTTGTCAGTGCAGTGGAAATGGGGTCCACCACTCCATTTCTATTTGAACGTTGGTGTGTAATCATTGAAACCCGAATCTTTCTAGTATTTCTTAGTTGGCCTCCATAATTACTTTTCTTTTCCTCTTTAATCCACCCAATTTATCATATTTCCAAATAATTTTAATATTCCTTTAAAAAAAATATTCTAAGATATTAATAAGGACATTCACACTCATGTTAATTGCTTATTTATCACAAAATGGATAATATTATGTATAATCGGTACTGATGTTAATAAGTATCATATAAATTTGTTGCTTTTTATACCAGCTTAATTTGTGTTTTTTCATTCGTAGATAGACTTTACGAATAGAGTAATGTATCAAATTTTTATTTTTGACTTTCTAACGTATGATTCATCTTATTATTATTAAAAAAAAAAAAGAGAGAATAGTTATTGATTTTGTGACAAATAATCATTATTAGTTTTTTATATAAGGCAATAATATATAAAGATTGCATACTTTATTGCATTATATCTTTTTATTTATTTTTCTTGTCAACTACATGTTTCATAAACCCGTTATATTAACGTCATTTCGTTTAGGGGATGTTTGGTTCATGGAAATATTTTTCAAAAGAAAATATTTTCCTTAAAGTGGAGAAAAATGTTATTTTTTGGTGTTTGGTTCATGAAATTCATTTTCCATTGGAAAATGAATTCCTTTAAATTTGAGAAAAACAAAATCTTTGGTTGGACTAGAGATTTTGTTTTCCATGGCAGATGGGAAGAAAAAGTGATATGAATTGTCTATTTTACCCTTTTTCTTTTTTAATTATATTACTCTTATTAATTTGTAGGGGCATATAGGTCTTTATACTCGTTATTTCTTACAATTCCAAATATAACCAAACAATAAAATTAGTATTCCCAGTAATTCTTTTTCCACCAACCAAACAATGAAATTCATCTTCCTAGTAATTATTTTTCCATGGAATTTCAATTCCACCCTCTTAAAATATTTTTCGTGAACCAAACGAGCCCTTAGAGTTCTACTATATGTACTCTCAAATCTTACTCCCTCAATTTTACTCCATGGCGTTGCCGGTTCTGATAAACTATTTTTTTTTTTTGAAACTTAAACTATTTTTTTCATGGGAGTCCCAATACACGTATCTACATTAATATTTTATATGCGAGAATAAAAATTGAAAGTAGAAAATAAGAGTACAGACATTTTCCATTCATTTATACCGATATGAATTCTCCTTATGATTTGTTAAAAATATATAAAACAACATATACAACTTTATCGAGGCACTTGGAAATTATCTGGTTGTATTATATATATAATCCATTATTTAATTTGTTGTTTTGTTATTTAATGAAAAATGCCTCTCTCTTTTTCGTTGGTTTTTTGACTTTCTCCACTTTAATTTCTTCATCATTAGCGGAATTGCAAAATCAAAGATATTATTCCACGGCCAAGTCCAGCGGAAAACATGGTGGCATAGCAGTCATCAACAATTTTAAATTTAAATATTAAATAACTAATTAATTAATTTAATCTGGCTCTGTTACCAAATTAAAGTGTGCTCCATCTCAACTAAAAGTCTAAGCTTATAGTTAGATCTCACACACACACACACACACACACACACACACATATATATATATATATATATATATATATATATATATATATATATATATGCCCAACACTACCGACTCTGTTATAATGTAGTATCTGTTTATATAAACATTCCCAACTTATTGAATCACAAAGAATTAATATTGCCTCACCGAAGTTACAATGCAGTATCTATTCATATAAACATTCTCAATCTATTGAAGCACAAAGAATAAATAATACTCCACCGAAATTTAAACTCATGACCTTTCATTTGAAAATAATGTTGATAAATTTTAAATTTGTGATATTTGAATACGAGAATTATGTTTTTACACCCACATTCAAGTTCCTTTATAGAATCATCCATTAGTTTATTGACAAGTGTATTGAAGTCAGCATCCTCATCATTATACCAAGGGAACAGCCTGTCAACTTAATCAAGACTATGGTTTTTTTTTTCAAAACTCCAACCATAATTCTTGGGCGACCATATTAATTTATTAGTTATGGTCCTTATGGAGTAATTAATTCTGAAAAGTTTCCAAAAAACAAAATTGTGAAAATAAAATTTGAATTCTTGAAATATATATACTTTTATCACGCGAATTGTATTAATTGAAAATTTAAAAGTAAAGTAGATTAACGGATAAAACCAATTATAAATTAATACAATAGAAAGTAAAAATAAAAGTAAAAATAAAAATAAATGTATAAATCTTGTAAAAATAGGCTAATACCTCTAAAGTTGCAAGTTATTGGATTGAATTTGACAAACTATTCTGTGAACCATGATCCACATAGTGTTGTATAGACTATAAAAGAAAGTATAGTTTTAATATACTACAAATATATTATTTGTGTACTGAATATACATTATATAAAATAATATACTTTCTCTGAATACATAATACATTTTTAATATACTAAAATACATTATTTTTTAATTAAATGTACATTATTTTATAGTATACAAAATATGGTACGCACAGCTTGATAAATTAAAACAAGTAGCACAGAAACATAAAGAGAGAAAAATGAAACGCAAGGAGCGTCAATCCTTATATCATCGATTAGGATTCACAGTATACTATGGACTTTGATGTATGTATATGTATCTTATGTTGTGAGTTGTTTGTGTTATAAAATTATGTACCTTAAAAGTATGAATTTAGTACCTAAAATAAATTAGTAACTATGTCTTATATTATGAATTTTCGTATCTTGTGTTGTGAAATTCAGTGCCTATGAACACAGTACAAATTATGTACCTAAATCAGATTTTAAAAAAAATATATATATATAATTGTGTCTTGTGTTGTGATTTTTTGTGCCTTTGTGTTGTGATTTTTTGTTTCTTGTGATATGATATTCTATACCTCACGAGTATGAATTCTGTATCTCCACGTTTTGAGATCCAGGATCCATAATGTTATGTGGATTTTGGTCCATGATATAAATTGCTTGTATGTTGTGTGCTCATGCGTGTGTGTTTATAAATATTTTTACTTTTAAATATGCAAAATATTTCTTGCCTACTATACATTTTTTAATTTTATGAAAATGAAGAAATGATCATGAAATATTTTATGAAAATTTTATGATTTTATTACGAGGAAATGTGTCTAACATGCAAAAAATGTTTTGTCCCCTTAGTAATGATTTTAAAAATTTATTTTACATATATAGGAAATTGGGTGATAAGAAAAATTTATGATTACTATCCGAGAGTGTGCACTAGGTAAATTACTCATGTATAATAAATCGTAAATCACACATGAGAGGTAAAATGTACTAACAAAATTATGTGTAACGAGATCGATTGAGAGAGTGTTGGCAATAATAGAAGTTGTGACCTTTAGATTCAAGAGTATTGTTGGTGTAAAGATTTGAGATGAGCAAAATTATGATGTATTGTGAGAATAGTGAATTTGAAATTCACTCAATAATGACTCCGAGATTCAATAGAGTGATTTTGAAATTCATCACACTATATAGTTTGGACATATTAATTCGATCTTGATATATTGGATCAAGTTTTGAGTGATTTTATATTAGTTAGATGTAGTAATAGTATATAGCCAAAATATGTAAATTTTATATACAAATTAAACGTAATTATACTTATGATATGACATTATGTTAATACAAAATAAATGTATTGTTCATCATAGAATCAAAGGAGATCTAACGCAAAGAATATTAGTTGCTTGTAATTATCTAATAGAAATAATACTTTTCTTTGGCCCAAGATAATCATTAAATTATATGAAAATTTCCCCATATTGAATAGTAAAATTAACAACTACTATAAATAATGCACACACATATAGTAACACTTTGCAGATAAATGCCCTGTTTGGTAACATAGTTAGTTTATCAGTCAATTTTAACTTATTTGATCATTATTAGTTGTTCGATTTGATTAAACATTCAATATACGTGTTTGATTAATTAGCTTTTTATAACAGCTTATTGCTCCAAAATGTTAAAATAAAAAAAAATTGCTTAAAACAGCTTTTTCGATAAGCTTTTTAAGAAAGTCATTTGCATGTAATCAGCTATCAGTTAACAACTAATTACCAAACATCTTTCTACAATCAGTTAATACTATCAACTACTCAAACCCAATAATCTAATCACCTATCAGCTAACCGCTAACAACTGTTTACTAAACACCTCCAAAATTATTATTTAATTCAATAATTAGTAAGCTGCTAATACAATTGCATAATCGTATGTTAAAAATTTTTGTATCAGACTTTTTATTGAGTAAGAGTTAAATTATGTGAATGCAACCTAAGTCAAATTTAATATAGAAGGTTATAATAATAATAATAATAATAATAATAATAATAATAATAACAACAACGACAATAATAATAATAATAATAATAATAATAATAATAATAATAATAATAATAATAATAATAATAATAATAATAATAATAATAATTATTTTTAATTATTTAGTATTGTCAAAAAGAGGAAAAATTAATTTTATTGTACGAGAAAAAAACAATGTCGTACATGGCCATTTTTCATGCGTGAATGCCATAATACAACTAAGCTATTTTCGGTCCGTTGGGAGAATGCTGACTAGATGTTACCGTTGTAACGGTTACTTTCAGAATCCTGGGACGAACTCTCGGAAGTCGGAATAATCGCATGAACCCCGTGACTTTAGAAAATTTCCATTCAGCCCCTCGAACTTTTGAAAATAACACTTTATGCCTCTTTTGCTTTTTGGCAAAGTCGATGTGAAAAACACAAAATAAGTGACACCTAAGAAC